TGATTGCATGAGCTCGGGTATAGTTTATCTGATCTCCTGTAAGACGTGTGGTGACGAATACATTGGCGAAACGGGTAGACCCCTCTGTGTCCGCATGAAAGAAAACCTAGCCGGCAAAAATAGACCAAATACCCCGCTAGGCACGCATAGGACCCAGAGACATAACGGGACGACTTCGAAGTATGTGTCACGATCCTCGCACGCGAATCAAGAACACAGGCGCGAAAAACTCTCGAGGCACTCTGGATTAATTCCAGAAATCCGAAAATGAACCGCAAGGAAGAATGCCTCATTATCACGCGTGATATAGGGCAGTATATAAAACTGCTTTTCTGTTGTGAGGGGCACATTATACTTCCATGTGATTTCTGTGCGGTTGGTCTCTACGTGACATACTGAGTGGAAACCTCATAGAAAGCGGTGAGTGTGCAAAGCTGTGTTCAACGTGATTGAAATCTTGGTTTGGAGTTTCTTTGTTTGGTTATGGAGGCGTCTGGCCGAGTGGATTGCTATCAACTTGACCTTTCCAGGCTCTGAGGAAGGCGAAATCCGTCGAAACGTCAGCTTAATCGTGAACAAAGAATAATAACACCTCGCGTTTGCTCAACAAAAATACGAAGAAAATTACTTATCGACATATCTCGCATGTGCTAGACAATGCTTTTCGTAAGCCTTCAAATCTTGAAGAAATCCTTCAGCATTGTTGAGACAGAAGCAATTACCCAAAACTTAACTAAAGGAGTGAAACTAGCAAGTAGTCTTCGTGAGCCAGAGAAAAATATTTTATAAAAATATAAAATATAGGTCAGATTGCAGCCTAGCTTCATGAAGACCTTTGTTAGGAATAGACTTATACAACTAATAGAAAAGCGTGAAAAAATGGTGAAGAAAAGAGAAAATTCTGGGTAACCTCTTTGACTACGTGGTTCGCCTAATTTGACACACTCCTCAGCAGTCTATAGGAAGCCCGATGACACGATGACCCCCTACAATCGGAGTAAGTCAACACTCCACAAATCAAATATAGTGCTTGTAAAAGGTGGTGTATATTTTATTAAAAACTCCAACACCCACTAACCAGCAGACTGTAGCACTTCTCAGAGAAGGACATCGATTGGATATATTATACGATTCTAAAACAGCCGCCTACAGAAGAAATACAGTGCACTTGTAATACATTACTTGGATAATTCAAAAGACAGACTTTCTATAAACCTCGCCATAAATAGTTGATTTATTTATTTATATGATCATATAAACTGATCTTGTTGAGCAAATACGAGGTTCATATAGGTCTTCGTTGTCGTCGTTGCTGCTGGTGTTCTTGGTCGATGGCTAACGCTTCGGGTCTGTGGGTCCCATTTATAACAGCACAGCTCTGAGGAAGGCGAAATCGCCGAAACGTCAGCCTTCGACGAACAACACCAACAACAAAGACAACGAAGACCTATGCCAACCTCGCATTGGGTCAACGACTTCAGTTTATAGGATCACACCAATAAATATATTACTTGGATGGGCCCTCTTCACTACTTGTGCGGACCCCAGCATAATTTCCATTCTCCACAGATTTGTTAGTTTAGTTTTGTGGTTCCATGCAGTCCCGAGGACGGCGAGACCAAAGTCTGCCCCAAATCGTCACCCCCACGGGCAGTCCCGCCCTTGTGGATCAGAGGGAGGTTTGGCACCATGCAACTAGTTTGATACTGGGACGGTGGTAGATCCCGGTGTTGGTTTACTCCTAGCTAAGCTTGCTGATGGAAACGCCGGACTTCTTCTCAGCTTGGAAGACCCTGTTGGAGGGAAGAATCCCCCGCTGTATATCGCAGCCTGACACCCATGAACACATTCCAGCCATAATGAGGCGGTAAAGCGTTGAGAGGGGTACTATATTAAATATAATAGACAAATAATATAAGTACACAAATACGGTGCCATGAACACAAATGGTAATAATAAATGTACATCGTACTATACTACAATAAATATAGTGCACTGAATATGGTACACTGGAATCCACAAAATGCCCCATGAAGGATGATGTCCATGGGCAATGGTCAAACTTCTTCCACGAACAGAAAAACACACTTCCAATTTCTTTACAATCGCTTACTACTGGAACTACAAGTACTAAAGATTCTCAAAGATAAAGGACCCGCTCCGTTTACACGAAATATGACTACTTTTACAACGTGGAGATATCCAGGACATTCCTTCACTTCATATTTCTCTATTTTAGTCCAAAACAATCATTGTTACTAAAGAGTACATAGAAGACGAAGACTGTTCTTAATGGAAATGAGATCACACCAACCCATTGTTAGTGGAAACTCCACGACATTTACTGCAGTTAATTTCGCCACTTGTGCTGCTACCGCTACTAGCACTATTCTCTGACCTTGTCCTACGCACCATTCTTTCGGCGACATCACGAGAAAGACCATGAGCCTAGAAAGAGCTTTACATTAAGGGCTACTCAACTTGAGACTGTAAGGAAATTAAAGCGAGGGACTTACAATTTCCAGAGCTTGAATTATAACCTCAGGCATAAGCACATTTAGTACGAGATGAACACCAGGTAAAAAGTAGGAATCTCGCTCACGTTCGCGAACCCAAGTAAATATTAGGTCAAAAAGGCTATCAGTTTCGTGATCTAAACCTTCGGAAATTGACCGGTTTAGTGGAAATGAGGACTACATCGCACCTGACAAAAGATTGCCAGTGCACGTTTCGAAACGCATGCTGGAACGAGGTGGTGTCACATAATTCTGCACCAAATCAGTCGTCCATATACGCTCAAGAATATAACTTGCTTCTCGAAAAATCTAAAACAGAAATCATCTACTCAGAAGCACCGATTGCTTAGGAACACAACTTTTTAAACTTTTTAAAGCCTACTGTGGGTGCTAAAAGATCGGGTGAAGGTGATGTATCGGAGTGTGTTGTCGAATCAGCTGCAAAAGCTGGTGACTCCAGGGATGACTGGGAAAGTGGTTGACGCTTCGCCAGATAAGAAGGATCATCAGACGAATGCTTCCGTTTTATAGCCATATTCGATGCTGCTGCTATATCTGCAAAGTCAATTTTGTTTAAAAAAAAAGACGAATTCAAAGGTAAGAAATTGAATGGATGATAAACAGCGATTAATTAATGGAAAAGTATTTCAGATACCTACTGAACAAAAAATTGCAGATCTGCGAAACCAACGAAAAACTGCATTAGAACGAGCATTTTCACATAATTTAAAGGAAAAGTAAAAGGTTGTCCAGAAACTTGTGTCGAAAAAGAACAAATCGTTTCAGCAGCGTCTTAAGTGAAAAAGGATAAAGCTCTCGGCGTTGATCAATCCTTCAGGGATGTGCCATTCATTCGACTTCATCAAGCATCGCTTGGAGGTGATTGAATGCATATCCTTTAGAATGACTCACGGTGGCCTATCAATGCATCGAGCCAGTGCTGCTATCTTCCCAGACAAGTCTGGTCCCAATTTGCCAACCCCGGATGGAAGAAAGGTTTGGTGGGCCAGGAGCTCGAAAGTCGATTCCATAAGTGGTGCAGGGCACCCCCGACCACTTCGCCACTCGCGCCCATCTAAGAGAATGCAGCTCGTGACAAGTGGAAAAAAGCTGTTGTAAACCTGACGTGTTTAACGCACTATATAAATATTGCGCATCTTTCTTCATATTGTTATGTTCAATGCAGAAACTATGGATTAACATACGAGAACTTACTGCATTTCTACAGAAATCGAAAAAATACAACATTCTTATGAAAAAATTCTTTCAAAAATTCCGACTAAGCCATGCCAATCGAACTCATGAAAAATTGGACGAAGTAAATAAATGCAACGACAAAAGAAATACGGAGAAATAACGGCATCATTCTATCGAAACTAGTCAAAAATTTGCTGGCAATAAACCTTTCTCTGATATCCCAACATATTCTTCTGCAGGCCAATCCTCCGATCGAGATTTCTCTTCAGAAGTTGAAACAGTTGATCCTGTGTCTGCATAGACGTCATCCTGTAGTGATTTTTTTAGTCTTTCGATATAGACTGGAACCAAAAATTTGCACTATAACATATGAAACCTCCCAACGGTTTACCATCCTGGCTGGGGAGTGTTGTTGAGTGTAAGGTTGTGTCATACAGCGAGGAGATTCATCCCCGAGCAGGGTCTCAAGGTAAGAAGTCCGGCGTTTTCACCAGAAAGCCCAGCCAAGGGCAAATCAATACCAGTGTCCACCACCATCCTGGTATTAAACTAGTTGCATGGTGGCAGATCTCCTGATCCACAATAGCGGCGACTACGTCTGGTGGTGACGACCTGGGGCAAACTTTGGCCTGGATGATCTTGGGAGTCCGGAGAACGGCTAGAAAAGAAAAACTCCGAAAAAGTGGAAATTATGCTGGAGGCCAATCGATAGCAGATTTAATTAATGACGTACTTTTCGAAGCAAAAAAAAACAAGAGATCCTTATATTACTAAAAATCTTACGGCTATGATCGACATGTCGTCGTAAGTGTCAATAGAGTCGTCTTCCAAGCAGTCATCACCTGATCCCAATTCCCTAGGATAAACACCGACATAATAGAGAGGTGCGGCTGAGCCCTACAATAATGATTGAGCACACTATGAAACAAAAATAGCTACCTTAAAAAAGCACAAAAGGTTGTCAATAAGACGTAATTATGGAAGAAAATACAAAATGTAGTACTACTTTTAAAAAAACCAGTGACTAAAAACAGGATATACACTCACCCTTGTCAATTCCCTTTCTTTGAGATATTGTTTGGCGAAACTGTACGCCTCTCTGAGATCACTCTTAGATGTTGAAGGTAATACATCATTTAGGGTTAGTGCACGAACTGCCTGAAAAAAAACTCCACTAACTGATCAAGAGCAACTATCTCTTGATAAATAATAAATTTGAAAAAAATGAAACCTTAGGATGACAGCTAAATGTTGGTACTTTTTTAGACCAGAGTTCTGGATGGTTAGACGGTAGAGGAAAAAATGTGTAAGTGATCTTCTTTGGATAACTATTTCGCACCTAAAAAAATACTAATGAAGACCTTATTCCCGCTCCTGGAGGTAAGTAGGCTGATAGACGATTTCTAAAGAGGAAACTTCCAAAACGTAAACCTTAGGTAGAACCATTTTAAAAAAAGCATGAAAAGCTCCCGGCGTTAATCAATCCCTTAGGGATACGCCATGCATACGACTTCACTAAGCATCGTTTGGAAGTGATTGAATGCATATCTGGCCTTTACAATGACTCGCGGTGGCCTACCGATGTATTGAGCCAGTCTCGCTATCCCCCAGACAAGTCTCGTACCAATTTCCCGAACCCGGATGGATGGAAGGCTTGGTGAGCCTGGGGCGCAGGGATCGATCCCATGCGTACTGCAGGGCGCCTCCAACCCTGCGCTACACGCGCCCATCTCAGGTAGAACCATTACCAGCAATAATGTATTTCAAAAGGCAAATTCCACAACCAAGAAGCGACATAGTAAACAAAAGAAAGACTTAATCAAAACTAACTAGTGCAGGCCAAAGTGGCTCCCTTCGATACGGAGCCCACACGACGTCTCCTTTTCGAACTTCTAAATGAAAAGCATCACTTCACAAATAAAGCAGTTTAAATAACACGTGAACGAAAGAAACCTACCCGGATGCGATTTCACCATCGCTTATCCAGTTAGTTCAACAATGCATAACTAAAATTCACAAGGGACTAGGTTGGACACAATGAACTTGTTTCAAATGTTAAACATGGGAAGGTAAAATACACCTAAGAGATTGCAAATTATTAAAATCTCTCTTCAATTCTCTTCAAAAATATAAAATAGAGATACTACGGCCAACATGGTTTGAAATTACTTTGAAGTTTCAAAGAAACAGATTTACGAACATCAAGAACGGTGCCACATCCGATGACCGTTACAAATCCGACCTTACGTTTAAATGCCCAGAAAATTCCCACTTTCTGGCTAATTGGCAGACTAAGAACAGCGATAGTTGCTTGGACATAAGCAAATAAAACATCCAATAAGTGCAGGTCCTGCGACAGAATCGTTACAAGAAGTGAGTTTAACCCTCTGCTATCTTCTGGGCAGAAGCAGGAGTTACACCACAGACCGAGAAGAGGGTCTTTAGAAAGGTCACTCCGGAGAGCTGGTGGTGAGTTCATTGACTTTAGGAGTAGACTCTTCACTTCTACTGACTACGTATATTTATAGCAATTCCTGCAACCATCTTTCTACTAACCTCGACCTCGAACAAATAATTCTCTATATTCTTGATGAGTAAACACAAAGTTTTACTTTGTTTCTTATTGACGGAAAGGTGACGTTTCGGTGGACCTCGCTTTCTTCAAAGCCTTGAAAGGTCAAGTTGACTGCAGCTTACTCAACCGAGCACCTCTATAACCATGGCTAAAACATAGAGTAGATTGCAGCCAACACGAGCTTTCCAGGCTCTGAAGAAGGCGAAATCCACCGGAACGTCAGCTTTTCCATCAATAAAGAAGAAAGTAACACCTTGTACCTGGCTAAGAAGAGTATGAAGAAAGATACTCTGCTCAACACATCTTCGTTGTTTGGCTTAGGGTCGCAAGGAAAAAACAACAATAATAGTGTCCGATAACACATAAAACCTAAAATCTGGAGCAGATCGACATTTACTGCAGAAACTAGGTATCACCTCATCCGTCCATATCAGATTTCAACCGATGCCCGCAATCCACAGGAGACAACCAAGAATCTAGCACAGATCGGCAAACGATTTCAATGGCTTCAATTCTAGAATAGATCGCCTTCTAGACTCAGCAAAACTAAATCAATTCGTCATATTTTTCATAGATTCAGGATTCTTCCCAACGACTAACATCATGGCTGAGAGGTGACCCTGGGCGTCGGGCTGCGATGTATAGTCGGGGTATGAATTTAACCCCAGCAGTGTCTCCCGAGCTGAGGAGTCCGGTGTTTCCATCAGGTAACCCAGCGAAAACTAAACAAATACCAGGATCCACCATCGTCCTGGTATCAATCTAGTCGCGTGGTGGTAAATCTCCCTCTGAGCCACAAGGGCGACGACTGGGTGTGACGGTGACTACCCGAAGCGGACTTTGGCCTGGCTGAGCTCAGGACTCCAGGGAACTTTGTGCTGGGGACCGCACAACCAGTGAAGATGGACCATCCAAGAATCCAAGTTTTCAAAGATTCACTCATGGGCGCTAACACACAAGCAAAAAAGTCTATGAAGTTAACATAATATAGTGGAAAGGAATCATAGATTAGTCAGCATTTTTACATGGACGTTCTTTCGCTAAAAAAAAATTGAAAGAGAAGAAGGAACTTCCGGAGTATTGTAACCGTAAACCTTAAAAGAATACCAGCACGGTTAAGAGAATTTATGACTTTTACAAGCTGTACAATGAAATGTGCCATATCTGCATATAAAAACACTAAGGTATTTCCATAGAGTATCACGAAAGTACTATGATCGTTAGATGGAAGCAGAATCCATAATGTTGGATGAAGTTTACGAAGAAACAGAGTGAGTGAAAGAGAATCACAAAACTAACCGGGAATCTGTAGGACTAGAAGTCAAAGAGTTCGACGTGACAACAGTTTAACAGCGTGATGGCAAGAAAGGGTTATCAGCAGAATAAACAGACACACCACGGTTAGCATATAATACAAGTACCTTAGAAACTTAAGTAATAATGAGCAAAGAAAAGTAGATGAGCAATTCAAGTGTAGGGGATGTTGTAAGATAATGAACTACCATAGTGGCTAAAAGGCACATTCTTTAATCCAGAAACATCATCAATACTAATATTGAGGTAGACAAAGGAACCACATACCCCTTGTTCATGAAAGCCCTCATATCGACAACACAGCCTAATTTTAACTAAGAAATTAACTGCAAGATGTATTCATATGTTGTAAAGGATACGCCAACAGCAATAGGTCCTTTGACCCAATTCATGCTCAGACCTTTATACAGTCCACGTTTGAGGCCTTCTGAAAACTCAAAATCCACTAATGAAAAAAAAACGTTTAGTCATCCGATAAGTAATAGAGAGCTTATTGGCTTCCAAATAAACCATACCTGTTTTATGTATTGAGACAAGAGAGCGTATCAGTCCTGTGCCAGGCTTAATGTGACCTGTTTGCATTCTTCTCCTCACAATATCTAAAGGGTATGAAGAAGATTGTCCGATTAGACCAGCAAACGCACCAAATAACATCTGCCAAGGTGAAGTGGTATGATGTCCTGTTCGCTCCTAACAAAGAGTTTGTAAAAAGGTGTTCGTAAGAAAGCAAACAAGTAAACTGTGTTGGAGAAGTTTTAGTAAAACTTACCATATACTTTAACTTCAGAGTTTCGTACGTGAAAAAGGAAGCGCCGGCATATGGAATGACTCCTTAAAAAGAAGCTGCAAAATCACTATTCAAACACCTCAAAAATAGGTCTCTTATTAAAATTTCATAACCGGTTTTCTTTTAAGCTCGGCATTGACCAAAAAGCCACCGCTTTCCTTGATCAACAAACACGACATTGTTATTACAGCACTTATTAATACACAACAGCTGACGTTCCAACGGTTTGGATTTCTCTGGAGTCTTGAAAACCCAACTGACAAGCAATCTACTCATGCAAATACTTTCATAAAGTTAGCGGACAAAACCTATCACATAAATCTTCAACTGCGTAATAAAGTCCTTTTGTACACTTACCGTTCTGCTCGTTATAAGTTTCCCTGTTAATTGGTTAACACCAGCCGCACAGAGTTCTACACGGGTAAGGCATATGCCTGGCTCAGGTCAAAGAATATCTAGCGCCATACTCCTAGCTAATTCTTTGACATGACCCACGCACATCACTCGCCCATGTACACCTTTGTGCGGCTGGTCTCGATCAAATAACTAGAATACTTACAAACAAAACGGTGAGTTGATCTTTGACCATCCAAAGCGACCTCTAGGTAAGCTCGGCCCGTACGAATGGTCAGTGTGCGTTATTTCATCGGTAAGCTAACAAGGGGATGTTACCAAACATTTATTCGGCTAATGTTTGACATCTTCGTCTTCTTCAGAGCTGGTGATCCAAGTCGATGGGCCACAGTTGTTCATCTTCTCAATGTGGTATCTTCGTCATTATCATCATCGGCTGTAAGGAAGTTTCATCTTTAAAAGAAGACGTTTATTGTGTGAATGAGAAATCTATGTGTTATGTTTTGCCTGTTGAGGATATAAAAGCGTTTGGCTGAGCAGATTGTGTGTCATTTCGACCTTTCCAGGCTCTGAAGAAAATGAAACCGTCGAAACGTCACCTATTATGCATTAACAAAAGCTTTAATAACAACCTGGTCTTTGTTCATCAAGAAAAACGGTGAGTTCTTATTGAACAAGTTCATCGGACGGATAGGCTAAAAAAGTTCTCTCAATAAGAAAAGGAAACAGAATATCCTATCACTTGGATATGAAAAGTTATGCGCTATCCACAAAACGTACAAGTAGAAAATATATTTAATATGAAGCTGAGACAGCGGTTCCCATGGGATTGCACCCAATAACACATTAGAAAGTGAAAAATGAAACTGATAATATGACTCGAAAAAGTTAACACGCTAAAAAGAACCATATTAACGATATACCCTTCCACACCTTAAAACAGCTCTAAAGAAAAGAAAATCTATGATGAATGACTTACCATCGAGACGCAACGCTACTCCCTATAAACTGCTAGAGGAATTCAACGACAACGATGCTGAGATATTTGCAAATGTAAGGGCATTCGTTGAGCAGTGTGTAATACGCCAACCCCCCGGAAAAGTTGATCGTGATTCAATTTGGCCAGGGTACCAAGTTTTGCGAATGTCTTGTGGTTGTATTTAGCATCATACCCTGCCCCAAAAAAACCACAATAGGCAGAAAATAAAAAGTTAACATTGTTAGAGGAATACTGTTCGAAAAATAACAAAGAATTAGCAAAATTAAATTAAAGATAACTAATGAGAACAAAGTAGATTTGCTCCTGGATGGACACCAATTGCAACACGTGACATCCGGATTATCACTCACGTTCTACATGTTGGTAGACATGCAAGCACTGATATTTTAGAATACAGACCCCGTAGTTGTACTAAAAAATAGACAACTCACCTAACAATGTCGGGAACAATCCTCGATACAGAGCGAGAATTCCATCATCGCGTGTTGTTTTTATAAAAACCTGTCCAAATTTAGTGCGTTACTAAAGTGCTTGCAATCAAGACCACTTTGTTTTTACACGTCTCATAATTCCCTAATATTTATTAATAATATAAGAGATACAGGTTTGCTTTAATCAAGCTTTCTGCAGAATAAAAAGGAATAAAGCTCTCGCCGGTGATCAATCCCTGAGGGATGCGCCGTGCATTCGACTTCATTAAGTACCGTTAGAGGCGACTGAATGCATATCTGGCCTTTGCAATGATTCACGGCGGCCTATCGACCTACTGAGCCAGTGCTGTTATCCTCCCAGACAAATCTGGTACCAATCTGCCGATCCTGGATAGATAGAAGGCTGGGTGAGCCACAGGGACGGGACCGATCCCGTGTTTGCATTGCGAGGCGCTTCCTATCACTGCGCCACGCGCACCTTTCTGCAGATATCATAGGAAATACACTTGGAACAAATTGCAAAAAACAGGAAGATACCGATAATAACGTTGCATACTCCTTTTTCGTTGATACCGATAACAGAGCTTTCGCAGTGTCCAACGGATATGTTAGGAAAGTTGCTGTCGCACCTGCCATAGAGCCAACAACACATCGTCGGCCAGGAGTTCTAGTCCTGAACGTTGTTCATAGTTTTACAACCTCATAACAAAAATGTCTACTCGAGAATTAACTACACATAACCCAAAAGAAGAAGTTACCCATTTGCGTCAACTTTCAGCAACATTTTATACTGTTCAAATGATGCAAACTGAATTGCAGCATAGGGCATAACGCGGATCATTGTGGCGGAGTTTCCACGGTAAAGGGAAAAAAATCCATTCTCTCGGTATGTTCGTACAACAAACTTCAGAGCAGATTTGAATGAATACCCACGGACAGTTGACACTGCAAAGAAAAAGCGAAGTATTTAGAAAGTTAAATAAGAAGCAGGAAAAGCACACCTTGGAAGAAAATCTTAGTTCGATCAAGTGGGGCAATGACCGTCTTCGCAACAGCTCCGGCAATCGCCCCACCAAATAATGAAGACATGACACCCGGCCGTTTCTTAAAAAGAATCTCTCTCACCTCAAAGACAATATTGAAACCAAAAGAAATTTCATGTGAAAACATCACCTTGTTTATGAACTTAATGTTAACTCAAACTATACCACACCACAGCTTCACCTTAACTCAGCTCAATGCCGATTTGTGATCCCCAGATCAAACCCGTTGACGGATGATTGCTGATGGCGATGATCGATAGAACTACCTGAGGGACAGCCGAAACGAAGGACCCGCATGGTGTGGTGGTCAACACGTTAGCCCCCTGAAAGGGTAATAGCGCGTTCGTTCCCCATCGCAGACAGCTGCGTTTCGGAGTTTTGCAAATGTCTCAGCATCATTACAATTATATCTCACATAATACGCTACCATTAAAAAAAGAGGAGGCAGTAAGTAAAAAGTGACGACATTGTCACTGATACCATACTCAATTTACTGCACTGAGTAAAACAACAGCAGTCGATTTTTATAACTTTGTAATCGATGATATAAAGGTCAATAACAAATCCATAACAGAGGCAATGGGTAAAACCCATTTCACGAACGGACTCTAAACCATTTTCTATATTTTAATCAAGTCCAACATCAACATTTTTTTCTCATTTTATTTTACATAACCCGTCATCACACCTACTGTGCAGATCCCAGCACTTCTCACATTCGATTCGTTTCCTCGCCCTCATCATCCATAGTGGTCCTCGAGCATTCTGTGCATTGTTTCAGCTGCTGCTTAAGGATTTCGTCTTCTTTATAAATCTCTTAGAACGCTGGTCAAGTGAATTGCTCTTGCAATCTCGGAAATAGCCAGGCTAAGGCGTTCCCACGTTGATCGGAGGAGGGTGTTGGGGAGGTCGGCGAACTCTTGCCTTTGGTTCCTGATCGACAGCATCACTAACCACTGCACTATCCCCACCACAACATCAACATTCATTTAGAAAATTCGAAAACCGACTTTCTTTTAACCCCAGAATTGATCGATAATCCACTGTTTTTCTTGACGAGTAAACACAACGTTCTTACAGCGTTTATTAATAGTATACAATAGCTGAGAGCCGGTTTCTTTATCTTAAGTCCTCCAGTTGTTACTGAAGGCCAGCACAGCAAGACTTAAGGACAATACAACGGCTACGAAGAAAGCGAAACCGCAGGAACATCAGTTATTGTGTGTCATTCATAAACGCTATAATAACAAAACAAGGGCGCATGTTACGCAGTGGACGGAAGCGCTCTGCAATACACACAGGATCGATCCCTGAGCCCAAGGCTCACCAAGCCGTCTATTCCTCCAGGGTCGACAAATTGGTATCATACTTGTCTGGGAGGATAGAAACACTGGCTGGATACATCGGTAGGCCACCGCGAGTCACTGTAAAGGCCAGATAAGAACCTCCAAACAATACTTAATAACTTAAAAGAGCGATTTTCTATAAACCTCGGCATTTTTATCCTTTTATAATAACAACCGCGGGTTTGCTCATCAGGAAAAACACTGAATTACCAACATTCAATCGTACCCCTTAGCAGGTGAAATAGTTCAGGAACTAAATTCATCACGAACGAAAGCCTGTTAAACAAAAAGAATCTGAGTACTAACCAGCAATAAAAGCAGTCTACGTGAAGTGGATTTTATGAGACACCTATGACTTTAAAGTTATCCACTCACGCGTTCATTTTTTCGATCAGTACCAACCATGCCCGTAGTTGAGCTCATAGACGTTGCAGTGGTGCCAAATTGGATAAGTGGATTCCTATGATCCACCACTCTCTGTACCTTAAAAAGTAAAGATTTCACCTAGGTAATCCTGTGAACACAGAGGTATTCAACGCCATTCGCTGTGAATTCCTCTAACATTCTGTTTGCTATCATCATAAGAACTGTCCTACCGACCAAAAACTCATGGGAAGTTAGGATTGAATATAGCGCAAATCTGCTCAGTTTAGAAACTACTTAGTAATTTACCACCTAATACTGTTGATCTGTGGAAAAATATAGTCAGTCTGCAGAAAAAACGAAATCGAAGCTTAACACTTCCAAGCCGATGAAGGGTGAAATATCAGAGGTTCAGTGAAAGAAGACAGCTTTTCCTTACAATTATCCAATGCCATACATGAAGTTTCCTACCCGTACTGACCAATTTCATGATGTTTCAGGTTCCCTTGACCTTGAGACATCTTTTCAAAGGCTAATGGAAATCTCACTTTGCTTATCTTATCAGCTGCTTACCTCCCAACGGTTTACCGCCTCATCGTGGCTGGGAACTGTTCCTGGGTGCCCGACTGCAATATACAGCGCAGAATTCGTCCCCTCGCAAGATCTCCCAAGCTGAGAAGGAGTCCAGCGTTTCCATCACAAAGCTTAGCTAAGAGTAAAGCAATACCAGGATCTACCACCGTTTTGGTATCAAAGTCGCATAGCGGTGAATAACCCTCTAATTCACAAGGGCTGCGATTGCCTGTGGTAGTGAAGACCTGGGGCAGACTTTGGCCAGGCTGACCTAGGGATTCTAGGGAGCCACAATGGCCTAACCAGAAAATTTCCGAAAAATGGAGATTATGCTGGGGGCCGCACAACCAGGGAGGACGGGCCACTCAAGTGTCAAGTGTCAAGTATTAGCTGCTACATTATTTACAATAAAATATAGTTGTACCATAAAATTTGAATTAAATCGACGGCCAAATTCTGACGAAAATCAACAAAAAAGCCGTTCTCATAACAGAGTAGTTACGAAGTTATGTAGTTTATAGCGGGATTTGACAAGAGGAAGTAGAACGAGATCGCATGCCGGCTTACGGCGCTCCAACGTCATTGACTGCGGCCCTCTTGCTTTCTCTGTTTCCCTAGAATATCACAATCCGCACACTGTTTCTCCTAATCCGTTGTTGTCCCCTGGTTCTCGGCTGTTGTCTCTCGCGTCAAGCCATTTTTCTTAAGAAGAATTTACTGAGTAGTAAGTTACTCGTTACCTCCGTTAGTGATTTACAATTACTGTTTCAGATCATAAATGGCCACCAGAGTCGATGGATGGCCTAGTGCTGGAGGAACAGCGCTGAGAAGTTCGATTCCAACTCAAACACCGAATCCTCTTCCGACCATTCCACTTCATCGTTCGATTAATTTGTGAGTTTTTGAGCTACTAGCTAGTTTTATCTTCTTAGTGGTGTTTTTTCTGGTGAACATGTTTTTTTTTACTTGTGGAGATACGAGGGGGCAGAAATTTCGAAACTGCAGTCACAACCGCTTTTCTATCAGTGAGAATTGTTGCTACTTTTGAAGCGCGTCTATTCTAGAAGGAAAGGTTCTCATCTGTCTTAAAATGTGTTAACTGAAAAATGTGAGGCGTAAAGGAACTAGGACCTTCAAACAATTCTAAACAATTCTAAAGGATGAGTTTTGGCAAGTTGCTAGTATGACGCATACAGGTGTGAATCTTGCACTAAACTTAACATTCCTAAGTTGGGTTTTCATAAGGTAACATTTGGGTGGTGGTCAAGCCTGTAACTTAAAGCAGGTATATTTCAACTCGTATAGACTTTATGAGTACAATTGCAACCGCTTTTCTATTAGTGGGAGTTGTTCTAACTTTGAAACACAGCGTTTGTTCTTTAAAAAAAAAGCTTGTTATGGACCTCAGAGTGTGTTGACTCAAGAGTGTGAGGTATAAAGTTATTTAGAGTGTTGAGTTTTGGTTAGCTGCTAATAGGACGCTTGCGGATATGAGTGTTGCACTAAACTTAGTATTTCTCGGTTGGATATTCCATAGGTAACGTATTTGGGTGAAGGTAATCTGGCCTGTAACCTTAAACAGATCTATATCAGCTTACATGGACATTATGAGTATATATAGAAGTGATCTATGCAGCATTATCAGCAATAGTGTCTGGACGTCTTGTCATGACGAAGTCCTTGTTTTCTGAAGCACGGGGGTCGTTTCTTCTTTTTATTTCGTTTCGTTTTGTTGTTCTCTTCTTCTTTTTCTTTTTTGTTGGAAGTTGTATCTCGATCAGCAAAATGACTGAACAAACAGGATTTGTTCTAGAAGTGTAGTGCGTGCTAACGAATATATCTTTGATGTCTGCGCATACTGTACTTGAGTTGTAGACCTTAAATCTTTATTGTTTCAGTTTTTCTTCTTTAGTGTTGATTTTTCGAAAGTTAAAGTCGGGATATTTTAGGGTCGTTTTATATGCCAGCGATGCAATAGGGCGAAATTTCTACAAGGTTTAAGATCCTCGGGTCCAGTTAGGGTAATGTTCTAATTATTGAAAAAATATCCCCAGGTACCGAGAAAGACTGTCGCGACTGCGTTGATGCATGTCCAGATAACCCAGTTGGTTCTTTTTCATTGATTTCTAATGCTTCTACAAAACATTTCCGCGTATTGCGGTAGTAACTGGAGACGAAAGGTGGTGAATATCTATTGACTGGTAATATAGCACCTTGTTATAATTATTCGTTACAGTTGTTTTTCTTTAAATAGATGTTAACAGGTTCCCATTATCGAACTACACCTTTGGTACAAAGGACGCGCAATCTGAGAGAGATCATTCCGTTCAAGCTCGATTTCAAAGAATGAGAGAAGAATACGAGAAGGTATTTATGTTATATGTTTTTCTGCATCCAAATATAATTACGGCAGCTTCCCTTTCGTGCTTTTGTTATGCCAGAATACTCGGATCCTTGGTCCATCCTCACTTGTTGTGCGGACCTCAGCATGATTTCCATTTTTCTCGGGCTTTTGCTGGCTTAGCCATTGTGGTTCCCTGGAGTCTCGAGGTCAGGCTGGCCAAACTTTGCCCTAGGTCGTCACCACAGGCAGTCGCAGCCCTTGTGGATGAGACGGAGATGTACTACCATGCGACTAGTTTGATACCAGGGAGGTGGTGGACCCAGGTATTGGTTTACTCTAAGCTGGACTTCCTAATGGAAACGCCGGACTCCTTCTGTGCTTGAGAGGCCCTGTCGGGAAGATGAATCTACCACTGTACATCGCAGTCCGACACCCAGAAACACCTCCCAGCCACGATGAGGCTTTAAACCGTTAATACTGCCAGAACAGATATTTATGAATGCACTTAAGGAGTTCGAAACTTGTATTAATATCAGGATAGCTTGGTTCAGGTAGGAATGCGACGTTCAGTGGATGCTGTTCTCATTGTTCATGAACATTCATTGCCACACATCTTATTGCTACAAATTGGTACTACCTTTTTTAAACTGTAGGTTTCCTTATGTTTATTTTATTGAACACTTTTTAAATCGAGTGGTTATAGAGATTTACAAGAAGTGTACATTGTGTAATTTTTATGTACCACTTTTATTCTATTTCATTTAGTAGAATTTTTCTGTTTAGTCCTGGAGGTGAACTTGAGGTTGGAGAAGAGGAAACGGATGGTATGAGACGACTGCTAGATCTAACGCTTGGACGTAGTGATGGAGTTAAAAATGAGTGGAAAATAGAGGTGGACTTATTTGTTGCTTTGTTTACTTTATTTACCATTTCCTTCTCTCCTCTTGATAAATATACTCAGTATCTGAGCTTCGAACATAACCTAAGCAGTATTTTCGTAGCCAGTAATTAGACATTTAGGATGAGGTCGGCAACTGGTGGCGACCGAATTTCGATCCACCCCGAGTGAGTATTTCTTTCTAATTAATGTTGATTTATAGACTTTTCTAGATATCACCAAAGCGTTCCAACTTACGCGTTCCACCTATGTTTAATATTTTGTTTCTAATTCAACACACTTGTTACACAATTTTACTGAATGTTCACTATCTTTGTAGATTTTTTTTTTGAAACTTATGCTGTTGTGAGTTAGTTGTTAATCATTAACCTAGTGTTTTAGCGGCTATTTCATAGTAGTGGTCTTTATCCACGATTTTCCGAAAAGATTTGAAGCTAAGAAATATACATTTTCTACAAGGGGTCGTGTAATCACAATTCGTGCAATGATCTTTGTGTTGAAAGTTATCGACGTTTGATCATCACATCTTATTATTTCAGTACCCCTACATACCAGCTCATGTCACCAAACCTAAGGAACACACAAAATTGTTGCTGGTTCAAATGCCGGAGAAGGGTACTTTTTTCTTGTTCTGGGTATTCGTTCGTGTTTCATGAGGTATATAAACAGCATTCAGTGAACTTTTAACTCACAATGGATGTGCAGCGTCTAGCACAGTTGGCTCAGTGGAATAGGAGCAATTTTTCATCGGGTGCTTACTTTTAGGTTTTTCGACCACAAAAGGCGATTCTTAAGTAACTAGGTGGTTTTAGTGGCTTCGAATATAACAGTCTTGTAGAAGAGACCTTGTTTTATCGTTCAGTAGATAGGAATGGCGTGCATGTCACTATTTACTTTGTGTTACTATGGTCCATTATGCAAATACATTGCTACCAGCAATTACAAGTGTGTTGTACTCTATGTTGAGTTTTTTTTCTTTGGTTTTTATATACCTACATTCCTTACAATAACTGTAGTGCCTGGAATGAAATGACAGTTAGTTGTTAGTTGAATTACCGGTTGATAGACTTTTTCAAAAAAAAAAAAGGAAGGTTTTTGTAAATCATTAAGTGCCGAGAATAGTTTTTCTGACCCCATCCGTTCTGGTTTGACCTAGTTTTGATTAGCTATAGAATAATTATACATAATCGTGTAGAAAAATTCTGAAATGCTATAAACTGGAAATGAGCGCTATGGTGTCCACGCCGTCCATTATCGGTTAAGCACACAACTTCGTCAGTGTAATTGAAACATTCGGTGCTGTAATGAACGCTTATACTTGATTGTGATACTTTTTCAGCCAAAAACAAAAATCCGGAGCTGTTCATTACTTACTTTAATAAATTTCAGCGATGTTTGCGGTGCCGAAGAACTACAAATTGGTAGCAGCTCCATTGTTCGAATTATATGACAACGCTGCAGCTTATGGGCCTCTCATCGCCAGTCTACCAATGGCTCTTAGTAGGTGGGCTTTCGCCTTTTGTTACTCACATTTTTGTTTGTTTATTTGCTTTTATATCCACTTGACAGCATTCTTGAGGATTTGGTGATGCGAATTCTATTTAAGATAACCAACATGCTAAAGATGGTTTATATTACCTAAGAGTTTAAGGTTCAACTTCATCTACAATGGTGTCGTTTGATAGGCAACAGCTGTTCGATACTCAAAATGTGTTATCATTTTTGTTACTATTGTTTAATGAAGTTGTATTGGAAGGCAATTCTGTTCAGTGGTTTTGTTGCACCCATTCGCTCTTTTATCTTGCTTTTTCTTTGTTTTTGCGTCATGTTGGTAATGAAACTGTAATTGTCACAATGTGTCAGAGTAGTTTCACTGATTAGATTTCTGCAGAGGTCCTAAATGGGAGGACCTTGGGACCAAAATGGTGTTCTGTTTCGGAAGCTGGACCACCTTTCATCCTATATCGTTGCTTTTCTGTTGTAAAGAAAAAAACGTTCGTTTTTCCAAAGTTGGACCCTCTGCATAGAGGCTGCCCGATAGTTTATCTAAAATTTTTAGTGAAAAATTTGCTGTAATGAAATTCGGTGAAAATGGTATAAAAGTTATCTACGTGTATCATAGCAATGTAGGGCGACTCTCATGTTCAAGTTGTCCCTTTTTGATTGCGTATGCAATGGGATTTATCTCTTTGAGGTTAGTGAATTCGTAGCCATGCTGGTTGCTGAATAATATAGTTGATTTCTTCATCAAGTTGTTGTAGTCAGAAATAGATACCTCTCTTAGCTTTTTACTTATTGGTAACAGACACTAATTATATTATTCTTCTATGACTAGCACTGTTCATAAGATCCAGTTGTGGGTTACAGATCCTTCAGTAGCAAGCTTTTTTGCTTTGACCCACCACATCTGCTGTGCGGATCCTAGCACTTCTCACATTCAGTTCGTTTCCTCGCATCCATTATCCACGGAGATCTTCCAACTTTAACGTGTGGTTTCGGCTGCTGCTTGAGGACTTCCATTTCATGCAAATCGACGAGATTTGATTGCCATTGTGAGTAGATTCCTATTACCAGATTAGAAATTGTATCTAAGTAGAAATTTTAAGGATTCGAAAGTGGTCTACTAGCGTACTGAAAACTTTTTTGATAAAAAGCCTCATCTGAAGAAACGATCGGGAAGAGCTGAATGGAATCGCCAAAAAACTATTTTCTATCACTGGGACTTTTTTAGCTACCGAGAACTTCAATAAAGTCTACATTAGATTCTGCTCTGTATTAAGTAGCTCACATGGCGTAGCATTGCATAAGTTCAATCTTAGCAATGTTTCCTACGCAAATAAATCAGAGTTACTCAGCTAAGCCTCGGGTAAACCTACGGGGAAAACCTTTTACTGTGTGTACTATAGTTCGAGACTCAGGCTCTCCAGCTACTAGGATGCTGCAAATTATGAAGAATTTTCATAATTGGAGCCTTATATAGGACCACATGGAGAAATTCGTCACATAAAGACATTTTCTTTGGATAGTCGTTCTTTTCTTTTTGGATAAATGGACGAGGCACGAAAACGCGACGTGCAGTCGGTTTAATAATTCACAATCAGATGTCGTTCTCATATCATCAGGTCGTTGTCTTCACCCATTGAACTCTCATTGAACATAAGTTGTACAATAAAGGATAAGGGACAAAGCTCTAGACATTGATCAATCCCTGAGGGATACGCCATGCATTCGACTTCATTACGCACCGGTAAAGGTGAGTGAATGTATGCCTGCCCTTTGCAATGATTTGTGGTGGTCTACCGATGTATCGAGCCAGTGCTGCTATTCTTCCCAGACATGTATGGAACTACTTTGTCGATCCCGGAGAGATGGAGGGCTTAGTGAGCCTTGCGCGAGGGGTTCGTTCCCGTGTGTGCTGCAGAGCGCCTCTGACCACTGTGCCACATGCACCCCTATTGAATAGTGCTGTAGAATAGTAAAATTTTTTTTTGAGAAGTTGTCGCACCGTGCATGGAAGACTTGCTTTGATTCAGTAAGGATCTCTGAATGCTGAAAGCTTTCAAAGCCGTATTCGGCAGTACAGACGAATGCGTTCTTAAGATCACTGAAGGTTTTTAGGCCTATTTATATGAACCACCATACTGAACTCTTTTTAAAGTCCACTTTCATAGCCGTTGTTTCTTATCCATTACTGGGGTTGGTTCAACAGAGCCTAAGTTTCCCGCACCCCAACAAGTAGCGTGCAAAATTACAAGTCAATTACCCGACGTTATGTATTTGAGATGACGGCGAAATTGTCACATAACTTTTTCAGTGAGGAGTTCCCATCAGAGCATTCTCACTTGGCGGATAGTAGGTTAAACGCAAGCCAGAAGTAGGCCAGCAGTTGTGCTGAAGAGTAGACAGTTTCGGGATATGGACTTTCCAGATTGACATATATCACACATATGAACCCGCATTCATACATGCATATGTGAGTATGTTTGCTCTCTGCTCTGAGTATCAATTCAACCAAAACCCTGTAATCTGAGATTTGCACGCACAGGAGAGTTCTCAAAGTTGTTCCCTACGACTAACCTCCTCTACTCGGAGAAAGCTCGGTAAGCTACTCATAGATATTTATGATATTTATTGTCAAATAGAATAGAAAGACATGAACTCGCTTCCTTGATCATGAAGGAGTTCCTTATACTTGTACATAGAAGTTGGCAACATCTGAGGTACTCTAGGTTGCTTAGATCCAGAAGACAAACCTGCGAATCTATTCCCACAATACATATAGGATTAAACTGAACTCTTCTGTTGAGTACCTGATAAAAGCTGAGAAAAAAGGATACGAACTCACAGAGTGGCCGAGACGAGAAGACATAGGCAATGAAAAACCTTTTCATAATGTCTGAGAGATTTTACCGAAACAAGCGATAGTTAAGAGAGCCAAGGGAGACGTGGAGTCTCGATCCACGTTCAGTGAGTTCTGCCACTACCAATGTTCACCACTTGTGCTCTAACATGAAGCTATGACGAAAGCAAAGTCAAGGAATTCTGTGTAAAATTCGTGTTCTACAGTTGAGATCGCATTCTTCACACGTTCGTTAACGACTTCAGCACCATGATTGGCAACAGGAAAATGCTCCAAAGACTATGCACGTTATCTATTAGAGTGTAAGGTCCTCAGTGAATGGAAAGCCAGCAAAACCATACTGCTCCATAAAAAAGGACTTATAAAGCATCGGAAATTTGCGTGCAGTCTTTTATTTATCCGTGCTAAATTCTTTAATAGAACAATTTTCAACAGGACTGATGGAATGTTTAATGAATAACAGACATGCGAACAGGCAAAGTTTCGAGAAATGTTTGGTATGACGGAACTCATCCATACCTTAACGAGGCTTACACAGAAAAGCCTTCGATTTTATTGAAATAGAACCGTTCATGGAAGCCCTGGATACTTGGTGCGTCTGTGCTCAATTTACAAAGATTCTTCATAAGTCAAATAAGAGCATAGCAACAAGAGCCTTCTCATCCGTCTTGTGATCTGAAAGTGGTCGTGGCTTAGGACAACCTATTTTAAAACATTATAACCAGGTTTAAGCACAACTTTACTACCTGTCGTGATTTTTTTCAATTTAGGTAACCCCATTGTGGTGTTCAACCTCCCACAGCTTAGCACTGAGGAACACCTCACAATCATAATAAGAGGGTAAGTCGTTGAGCTTTTTACTCTCTTCTAGAAACAGTAAGAATCAGAGAAGTCCGATTATTGGGCCGGTATTTACAATAATAGCAAAGCGCTGTGATTTTACTGATATTTTTGCTACTTTCTCGAGCTTATTTTCATAACAGGCGACTTAGCCTAGTCGTAATTCTTCCGAAAGCAGATGGCAAGGTGACAGTTTGGTTACGTAAGCATTACATGAAGAGAATTTCCCTAAGCGAAAACCCATCAATTAATAATCGTACACGTTCCTTCTTAGCAATGAGGCACGTATTCATTCGACAATAATTCGACGCTTGTCGTATGCATGTGATTGATTTATCACATTACCAGTTGTAGTAGAGGAAATTCAAATTCACCGCAACGGTTTACCGCGTCATCGTGGCTCGAGGTGTTCCTGGGTGTTGGACTGCGATGTACAGCGGGTGTTCATCCCCTAGTAGAGTCTACCAAGTTGAGGAGTCCGGCGTTTCCATCAGGAAGCCTAGCTAAGAGTAAACGAATACCAGGACCCAACACCGTCCTGGTATCAAAGTCGCATGGTGGCAAGTCTCTCTCTGATCCACAAGGACTGAGAATGTCCGTGGTGGTGAAGAACAGGGCACACTTTGGCCAGGCTGACTTCAGGATTCCAGGTAACGACAATAACTTACCCAGTAAAACTCCAAAAAATGGAGATTTTGCTAGGCCCTCCAATCAGTGAGAGCGGGCCATTCAAGTATCAAGTATCAAGTAAGTACAAGAGGAACATCATCAGCAGATGCTTAAGCTGTACTGAAACATTTTAAATAAGGTGTTAATGAGCCATTAATGACAGGCCTCGACCAAGATCGTTAAATACAACACGTTATTAAAGTTTATTAGAATTAAAGAATTGCAACCTCGTGAACAGAACACTTCCTTGAACAGTCGTCCCTTAGTTGCCATTTTTTATTCATTTATTGTTCGCCGTTCATTTATTATTATTGATTATTGAAACTATTATATTGGTATGATTATTCATCAGTTTAACTACTAATATTTACTACTAATTATTATTAATAATTTACTATTATTGGATACTTTATATATTAGGGTACAACAGGGTTCTCGAATTCAGTGATCGATGTCAGTCTTCAGAAAGCTTTTGAACTGTAGTGTAGCTATTACAGACCTCGTTCATTGTTTAGTAGTTCTAAAATTTGGTGAAAATGTCGGAAATCTCTTTTTGGTGATAAATGCTTTGTCCTGTTGTTTTTCATGGATCTGTGTGGTTTAGCTTTCCTCTCCTTCTTCCAGTTTTCTGATTTCTCTTTGTCTTCCTCTTGATCTCAGTGTTAGTCTTGTAAGTGTCCCACGGTCCATAAAACAGCAGTCGTCAAAAGACATTTTGATAAGTTGTGTTTGTTATTGATAACACCGTCCTGAAATTGATAACACTTCCGAGCCAACCAGAATGTACCATGTGCTAGCGGTAGTTTTATTAAATTTTTAGAATACATACATATACTGTCTAATGATGATACATCCAAACACCTATTAGATATGCTTCAAACAATGCTCGATTAACCTTGATGGGTTGGCGGTGAGAGGGCGGAAACTGATGTCTAGGTTGGGCTTTGATGTGTTTCTGAATAGATTATGTCATCAAAGGGCGGTGTCCCCGGGGTGTCCCGAAATCGAGAAACGCGTCACACACCGATAGCATCTGACAGCTCGCCATATGTGATTGTTCGAACTCAAGACGTCTCACAGCTTTCGATATTAGCTACCGTAGTGTGAGAAGACATCAATGAACTTGATATCTTTGAAGTACTTTTGAAGCTTCTCGTCACGTACTTACGCAATTTGTCACCACTATGAGCTTCGAGCTCCCATGAATTCCACTTCCAGATCGAAATATTTCGAACTAGAAGCGACGTCAGAAACCATAGAAAGTGAATTAACAGCCCACTACGGTTCATGTCATTCGAAAACCACAAAACACCACCCAACCACGATGAAGTGATCAACCAGTTTTTTTTCTTGGTGATGGAGATTGATAGCTAAACAGATAGTAATAAGAGAGTAATAAGTAGCAACAACTAAGTTCTTATGACAGCACAAGGAAGAGTGAAGAAAACTGAACTTGCTATTA